CCAGGAGTGCTCACCGATCGTCGTACCGCCATCTTGTGTATCCGTATCACACTTTTATTTTCTGTTATTCTCTGTTAGAATGCCGAAAACGATTTTCCCCTCTTTTTCTTTTCATTCTTTCCCCTCTTTTCTTTATCTCAGATTAAATTAAATCTATTCTTTACGCTTTTTCCTCTGTTCTGCGCATCTACCCTCGAATGTTTAATATTTTCCTTTTTTATCTCTTGTTTTGAATCAATGTAATGCATGCGATTGGTAGTTTTTGTTTCTAATTTTTTTCTTCTTATTATTATTATCGTTTCTCTCTTTTTTTTCTTTTTCCCCCTTTATTCATTAGATTTTTTAATATTCTATTCTTGGATTTGTTGATACGCTTTCACGTAGAGATACGCGATTTATCGTACTATGAAAATATCTAGAGTGCATAGGAAGTAATGTGTGTATTATATATAATGTGTTCATCGAAGAAAAAGAAAAGTTTCTCGCCGACAACTGCAATTTTCCAGAACAAAAATCTCGAATCGTTGTTAATCAATACTCGACGATATTTTACTTTCGAAATGATGCAGACGCACGCAATGTTTCCTTTTCATTCTCTTCATTCTTCTCCTTCCATCTACACTATTATATCCATAAGACGCTTCAAAAAATTTTTCCTTTTCAAATTTTAATATAAAATCGAAATTATAATATAAATCTTGATATTCCAATTCGTAACAACAATATTTGAATTGCAACATGTTAACTTTGTTGCCATTAATTTTAAAATTGTCAAGAAAATTCGAAAAGATCTCTCCCTGTTTCTGCATCCCCCTTCTCCCACTAACACGAAGATCCAACGCTGCAATGGCTGCTGCAATCGGTGAGCACTCCGCAGAGCCGGCGAGTATCTTAGAAAGAGTTGTTTAGCTAGTTTAGAATTGCTACCAAGTTCAACCCAACCGCCCCACATCACACCCCTATGGCAGACAGATTCATCCTCCCTCGAAATTAGTTTCTCCACCGGCGACTTAATCGAGAACATGTTAGCCACCTCTGCCTCGAGTTTGCCTCTCGAGGGGGTGGTTCTCGAGCTTTTGACGAAAACCGGCGCGGATGTAGCGATTGTTGAAATTCCGGATGCTCGATGACATCTCGAGTGTCTAGTCGAATAAACTCTCATCCTCGTGGATTCGATTCTCGAAACGTTCGAGCCGTTCAATCCTCGAGAAATTCCATATTTGTATAATTAAAATTTCGTTACTTCTGCAAGTTTTTCTCTTTTTTTTTTTTTTTTTTTTT